TTAATAAAAACATATTTTTAAAAAAGAGAATTCTTTTTTCCTTAATCATGACACCATACATAATAAAGTCAGAAGCATCAGATCATTTAGGAGATAATTGCAGTTCTTCTGTGCTTATGATGATGCTTCTCTTCCAGGGAACATTTTCCTAGACAAGATGATTTCATGGAAGAGGGTGTTGGTGCGACATGAGAAAGTTTTATTACATTTGCTATTCTTTTATTATTTCTTTATTAATTATATATGCCTCTTTAAAACATGACAATAATGATATAGCCTCATTTTTTTTTTCTAAAGCTGCCCAGGGGAGAGTAAAGAATATGTTCATCACTTTTGTTAAAAGTCAGCGAAGAACAATCAAGCAGGATTGGACTATAGTGTTGCAGTATTTGATAGCCCCAATAACTTAATCAGAATGGCTGTATTTTTGAAATAATGATTTAGCCAAGTGAAAATAGCAGGTTGGTTTGATTACCAAGATGTATTTTGCAAATTACTCAAACTAGGTCAGTGCCACCAAAAGGCAGGACAGCTGTTAAATAAGACAGCTGGGATCAAGTTCATCAGTGTGACATTGATGCTGGGCTCTATCGGCTGTGGGATTACAGAATTGTCAAATCTAGGACCTGAAAAGGATTAGTCAGCAGAAATGCATCCCTCTAACACTGGGAGCTCCTGTCTTTGTCTCGTCTTTTTCATAAGACTGAGGCCTACTCTGCAGTGTGCTTAAATGCCACCAGGATCACTCCAGGATCTTACTAACCCTCTGTGATTTCATATTTAAAAGAAAACAAAATACATGGCAGATTTTATGGAGAAATATAGAGGTTGGACCAACATTTGGATTAAAGCAAAACAAAAACAAACAACTTTACTGATAACCCAAATGGACATGAACTCCACAGGCATCTGCAGCGAGTTAGAGAATCCCATGGTCAGCATTTATTCAGGGCTCGCCATGAGCCAGGTAGGCATCATTCTAAGGCCTCTCTGTATAGTATTGCATCTGAGACTCACACACTCCTGAGTTAGTGCCATTTCCCCTGGCTGGTGTGGCTCAGTGGTTGAGCATCGTCCCATGGACTGAGAGGTCCCGGTTCCATTCCCGGTCAGGGCACATGTCAAGGTGCAGGCTCGATTCCCAGTAGGGGGCGTGCAGGAGGCGGCTGGTCAATGTTTCTCTCTCACAACAATGTTTCTATCTCTCTCCCTTCCTCTCTCTCTAAAAAAAAAAAATCTGAGTTAGTGCCATTTCACAGATGAGGCACCCAAGGCACAGAGGTGGGACAGACAGCCAGAGAGGTGCAGAATTATACCAGGCAGTCTGTCTCCAGAGCCACAGTTTTTAACACTACACCATACTGCTTCTCCTCAAGAGGTAATTTGTGGACTCTTACAGATATTTATATCATAGCTACACTATAGCTATTTATTAGTGTGGCCTTTCAGATTACTGGTTCTCAAGCTTGCTGCCCATTAGACTCACCTGGGGAGCTTTTAAAAATACATATAACTGGGTCATACATCACAGATCAATAATCAGAATTTTTAGGGATGGAACCACAATGGTGAGTTGGAGCTGGCTCATACCAGCTTGTAAAAGATGATGGTTACATTTCCAGGAGTTTTGCAAGCCAGTTGAAAGCATGAAATAAGCCACTGTGGAAGCATTTACTCCTCAAAAGGTGGCAAACACTATTGCCAGTACTTTCTGTTGTAAGCAGAAAGGGCTTTGCACCAGTGCACCCTGGGTGAGGCCCCAGCATCTGCAGTTTTAACATCTCTGGGGGATTCCAGTGTGCACCCATGGTTAAGAACTGTGGAGTTAGAGATGCTTTCTGCCTTCCTGTTAAAGGGAGACCACAAAGTAAGGAAAGATGATTAGGCCCGGGTAGTCATTATAATTATTTTCTCATTAATGTTTTAAGCATCCCTATTTTCTCAGCTTGGGGGATAAATCTTGATCCTGGAGGGCATCTTTATTTCCTTTGAAGTAATTCAGACCAAAATGAGAATCACACCAAGTCTCTCTGTAGAAAATTTTGTGTCATTATCTATGTAAGAGCTAGACCCGTAAATTATGTAAATAGGTGTATGGGCCATCCTTCCCCATGTCCATCCAAATGTTACTTCTGTGGGCCAGTCTGACCTCATGCCTTCCTCTTCCTGTGTGAGTCTCAAGCTGATTCCATGTCATTTTCTCCCAACATCAAGTTCCATTCCTCATGTGTGCCACTTCAGTATGTTTTCCTTGGTGGACGGGTTGGGGTGGAGAAGACGGCAGAAAAAGATAAATGTCCCAGTTGAACAGGGTGCTATTTACCCAGCCCAGGGAAGACTTTCTGCCCTGCTTTCAGACTTTTGTTTTTTTTTACCACATGCTCCCCCTTCGGGTGCATACCAGGTGAGCCCTCTAGGGCGCAGCTGCAGCTTAGTGCTTCACAGAGGTTTTGTTCAGCTGCTGATTGCATTGCTTCCTACAAGATTGCTCCAAGGCAGTTTGATTCCCTTGTTAGAACCCACTGTGACACAGCTCCTTGGCAACCCTGCCTTATCACCTGGAGCTTATGCCATTGGTCCCATCAAATGCCAGTGGGGACGTGATTGCAACACTGAATTTTATTTCCTATTTAATATTTTTTACTTACTTTGAGACCTATTATGCTATGCATTGAGCCTTAACTTCCAAGAACTATAATCAAATTGTTGATATACAAAGTGAATGAAATATCTTCTTTCGCTATTATGCTGTTATTTAGAAAGTATTCGGTCACACTGAATGATCTAAAAGTTACTTATGCAGAAGAAATGGGTATTTCATTTGTCCATGCCAGTAAGTTGAACGGACCTCAAGCTAAGCAAATTTGTACTGCTGAAGATTTTCTTCTCCTGGACAGTTAACGTATAGTTCGATCCTGATGGTCAAAAGAATGTTGCAGATGAGTTGATGTGCTGTAAAGGAAGGTGGGGGCATTTATGGGACTAATTTATTAGCATATCCTCGGTCCATTTTTCTTCTGAGTGGTATTTGTTTGAGGACCCCAGAGTTTCACCGTCTCTTCCTTGCCTCAGCCAGCACCCCAGGCTGAGCGCTGGCCTGGCCTCTGCTTCCCAGGGTGACTCCACCTCTGGCCTGCTGGTGGCAGCAGGCCATTCCTTCCGAAGCTCAAAGGACGAAACCACCCCAGTACGCAGAGCACTCCAGAGGCAGAGGGTGGTGGAGCACGGGAGGGTTTGAGTCACATGTGTGACTGAGCCCTTCACATCATCTTCATTCACAAGTAACTGCTGAATTCTCTCAGATTCCTCCACTCACTCGGCAGGACGCCCTCTCCGTGCTCCGTGTAAGCGAGACTGCCGACCACTGAGCCAAAGGAGGGAGCCTTCAGTGTTTCTCCTCATTCACAGTTTATAGGTTATCTGTCTGAACAATTTGCATTTTCCAGGATGTTATTGAATTAGTTTTTTTTCTTTAAGGTAGGAGATATCAGAGGTACTTAGGTTTTTCTTAGTGTTATTGGAGAATTGTGTGGATTGCCTTTCTCTGTTGCTGGTGGGAGTGGGGTTCTTGGAAAGCCACTGGAATAGGCCCCTAGGAGAGCATGGGATTTGGTAGAAAGCTGTATGTGCATGGAGTTGCTTCCCTGGGAGTGCAGAGTCCATTTTCCTTCAACCAGTCCTGGAAGCGGGCAGCTGGGAGTCAGCAGAGCTAGAAGCAAGGCTGGTGCACGGTGTCCCTTCCATGGTGGAGCGGGGTCCATGGAGCATCAGGCTGGTCACGGTCCCTCAGTCCATCTTGTGGGGTCCACCTGGCCATGAGCCATGTGGACGAATGCAGGGGAACACACTCCCTGCAACGAGAGAGCCAGGAGTCCCGAGAGCGCAAGAGAGCCAGAGGCAAGAGCAAGAGCAGGAACCCCGTTGTTCAGGAGCCTAAAGGTCAAACCTGCCCGCGCGCAGTGCCCTGCCCATTCTGACCAGTGCCCTGTTGCCTGTGTGACCTGTATGACCAGTGACCTATGTGACTGATGGACAGGCAAGCATCTTCCATGTCACCCAGACCACTGAGCATGCGTCTAAATCGCAGCCTCCCTTTGCTCCTTCCTGTTGCTAATTCACTGGTTAAATCACACCAGTACTATTGGCATCAAGAAAGTGATCCCCGAAGAAACCTCTTGCTTTGTAAAACAAAGCAAAATGCTGGTTAAAGATGAAGAATAAACTGAAGGAAAAGCAGGTATATTCGATGTAGCATTTGAGTTATCCATAATAATCTTATCAGAGATGTTTTAGTAATAAAACAAAACACTTTCAAAAATGCTAAAGAAGTAGAATATTTAAGGTCTGTATAGACCAATGATCATTAAATTTACTAACATGAATAATATCCTCAGTACAAAGTAGTTAAAGAAACAAACTATAAGTTGACCCAGACAGTTTTTGGCTTTAAAGGCAATTAGGTAACATGCATTTGTATAGCACATTATACTTCGGTAACCAGAAATGCTAAAAATACATTACATTCTGCACAGACACAGTAGGTTATATACCACAAGCCTAAAATGTTTCTAGAATTTTGAAAATCCCAGTGTCTAAAGTGCTTTGCTTTGCCTTGACCACATGTTTTTTTAAAAGCATCCCAGTCTTTGTTTCTGTTGCCTTGATAATTCCAACTGCTGATGCTGGGCTTTGTCTTGTAGAAGTTCAAGGGCACTGTGCCACCTGCCAGCAGGAGACAGCACACCCATGAAGAGGTGGGGTGCTCTCCTCCCGGAGGCTCACTGAGGGGTGTGAAAACATTCAGAGGTGTTTTTAGGCCTGTTACATTCTAAGATCCCAGCCCTGGGCAATTAGGGTAATGTATTTCCTTACATTGGCTTCTTTAACTAAACTACGCAGAGGTTTGTACAGAGTTACAGAGATGTAACATGTGCTTCATTTGTTCATTCCAATGCCTAGATACCTTTGAATATAAAAGCTTTTTTGTGTGTGTTTTTTAGAAGTCTCAGCACAAACAGAAATCTGTGATATTCAGCAGGACTGGAAACCTTCCTTCCTCAGTGATGAAGAATTCACGCAGCTGATGTTGGAGGTGAAGTGCACTTTTAAATTAGCTCCACGGGTTGCAAATGCAAATGTAGCTGCTTATTCCAGATAAGACCCTGTGCCCAAATCAACAACTGTTCTTGACCCTGGAAAGAGACCTTGAAACAGGCGCCCTCCTGAAGGCTCCTGCTCCTGTTATGTTTTGGCCACTGAGTTGGGTGCTGTGTGTACTGTTGCCACGGTGGCTGCAGGGCAGCCCCTGCCTGTCTCCCAGCTAGAGGTCATCTAGTGGGGAGCTGATAGGGGGGGAGCTGCAGGTAGGTTGGAGCGAGGGGGCGGGGGAGGAGAGCGTCCCCCTCTGCACTGTCTTCTGGCGCAGAGGTCCCTCTTGAGAATGCAGTGATCACATTTTTCCTTTAGTAGAATACATTTTGAAAACAATGTCTCCTTTAAAGTTATACTTTTGATTTGAGTTCACATTATGTCTACATGGCATGGCATGGAGGTGTCCATTATTAATGGCCATGGGCCTGCCCACCTAGCACACGCCCTTTCTGTGCTGACAAAGACACTCATATTTCTTCCAAAGTGAGGTGCCCGCGCCCACCTGCAGAGCTGCACTGTGGAAATCTGGCTGATCTGAGCCAGTGGACTTCCTTAATGTCACATGAGCGAAACCCCCCGTACCGATGACAGTAAGTCTACAGAAACCTCTGGCTGGCTGTTCCGACACCTAGACTGGGGGCAAGACGGGAGTGTCTGGTGTGAGGGTGGGGTGAGCCCCAGCGAGGCATGTCGGAGCCCCGGGTCAGGAGGGGAAAAGTGGGACCGATGAGTCAGCAAAAGGAGTAAGACGCTGGCTGTGTGTCAGCACTTCCAGGTGAGGTTTTTGGGGAGGAGCTTTTTGGGATAAATCTCTCTATATATCATCTTAAGACTGATTTAAACTCAAATTTACATAGACAAACTATAAAGTAAACATAAAGTCCTGGTGTAAGAAAATGCCCAAATATTATGAAATACAAACATATTAATAAACATTTGCATAAAAATGAAAGATACTTAAGTCTACACATGAACTATATTTAAAGAAAATACAGAACATCCCCCAAAAGCAATGCATTTTAAGTGTCTCATTTTAGAGTGATTTGTGAAATATCATGTTGAATTAATACATCATTATGCCACTTTACATAAATTGTTTTATCTTTTAATTCTAAGGGAAAGTAGTTAAAATGTAGAACCCTATAGCACCCACCTCTTTTTATGAGCCTATATGCAAACTTTTTTTCCAGTGAGTTCCAAGGTATCAAAAGTGTTTGAGGAAGCAAGACTTAAAGTAGATAATTATTTGGGCTGAAAGGCAGGATTGAGATTTCGGGAGACGAATTTCTAGAAAAGGCTTTTAGATTTGTATGGATGTACTTTACACACTTTCTCCTGTTCCCTGTATAGACTTCTTGAAGCAAATATAAGGAAAATCTTGCTAGATGAGTGAAATGGACCAGAAATTAAGCCTGTACAAGTGGGCCTCCTGGGTGAATTGCAGCTGCGCAGAGTCTGGGAAACCCACCAACTAGTACTTCCGCTTATCTCAGGCTCTTTCAGGCTCCTATTCCGCCTGCTGCTTCTCAGTAGATGCAGACCTGGGATGAGTCCCTGGAGCGGCCCCCACCCCCACCCCTGGGTTCTGAAACACAGCAGCGACCCTGCAGGTGGGTCATCACAGTGTTGTCCCCTCTCAGCTGCACCTTCTCAGATTTTCTTGTAGCCATTCTGGGGCAGCTGCGGAACCAGGCGTCATGTCTTGGTAACCAGGAGGCCCCCTTTTAAAATAAGGATGGAACCCATAAGACCCCAGAGAACTGAGCGGCTAGTGCCCTTGGGGGGAACACATCCTTCTGCCTCCTTCCTTCCCTCTTCTCTCAGAAAGGCCCCAACCCAGATTCTGGGAGGACCCATGTAGTGTGGGGGTTGGAAGGACGAGAAGGACTTGGTCACGGCAGCCAAGCTAGTGGTGTGAGCTGGGGACGAGTGTGGCTGCAGGCATCTGCACAAGGAGACACGGGAGGACGAGCTTGTTGCAGATAGTTAGGAGTCTGCGGCATTTCCGAATGTTACTCGGAAAGGCTACAGCGCTCTTTTCTCTTAGCCCAGAGGCTGTCCCAGAGAGCGCCAGCGACATCCCAGCAGATCAGGAATTGGCAGAAAGGGATGGTTTTGCTCCCCTCTGGTGTGCAGCAGGTGTCAAGTGTGGCCAGAGCGGCGTCTCGGCATCCCTGAGTGCTCCGTCAGACTCACCGTTACGCTGAGTGGAGCCGTCACTTTGCAGGCAGGTCGCTGAGTCACTCCCACGGGCTTCTGAAACCACAGCAAGCGTTCTGAACACAGTGACTGTTCAGTTCTGGTGAATGAGATGAAAAATGCCAACGAGCTGATGAAAGTTGTCTTCCATCTATAAATAGCTTCAGCTTTTTCACACCGAGTTGCTTTACACATTCAAGAGGGGCACACTGTGCAGAAAGGTCACTGGTGCCGCTCCCACTTTTCCCAGTGTGCTCTATGCTTTTACAAAAAGGTCCAGTCAACACATCAGCAGTGCCTTTACCTCGTAGAAGATTCACCTACAGGGGCTCTGAAATATTATTCAAAACCATTTAGAAAAATGCTGAGGGAAAGAGTGGAACAAGTCGCTGGGCTGCACATCTGTGTCCACCACGACCCGTCATCCGAGCCGGGTTCTCAGCCTCAGCACTGCTACGTTCTGAAGCTGGTCATTCTTTGTTGGGGGGGGGGGGGTGTCTTGTGTGTTGTAGGACATTTTAAAGCTTCCTTGGCCTCCACCTACTAGATGTCAGCAGCAACCCCTACCCCCACTAGTGACAACCAAAAATGTCTCTAGACATTGCCAGATGTCCACAGGGTGCAAAATCGTCCCCATTTGAAAACCACTTATGTATTCTGTAAGGATGCTGTGCACTTAAGAAATGGGCTTTAATAAATATTTTTCAGTCTTGAATCCTGCAATACAGAAGTGTATAAATGACCCTGGTGTAATTTTCCTGGTGAAAGGAACTCTCCCATTTTGACATGTCATAACCGTGCCCGGCACACACACAGTGCACTGGGTCGGGTTCCTGCCCAGTGCCCGTGAGCACCGTCCTCCCTTGAAGGGATTAATGCCCATTTGGCTGTGCAGACCCTTGGAGGTTCTGGCTGAGTGCATACAAAATATTTCTAGAACTTTGTAAGTACATATTTCAGTTTTCCCCCCACCCCAAGCAGAAATATTCCACTTGGGGAAGCTGGTATTCAGAGCTACCGTTAGTAAAGCCCCAGTGAGCTGCTCACAGCGAGTCCGGCTGAGTGTGTCCCCTGCGGAGTGGGCTGTGTCCTCCCTTCCCTCCCATCGCTGCACACGGAGCCAGTTGCCAGTACAGCCCCATCCCCTGTTGAATGACGTAGTCTGAATCTCAGAAATCGAGTTTCAGGTAGGTCTTATGGCTGCATCGTGAGCACCCAGTACGGACTCCGGAACAGCAGCCGGTGTCCGGGAGGGACACACCGCTGCTGCATCTCTTCCCTTGCAGCAGCCGGCAGTGCCTGGCCTGAGCAGGTGCCCCGGAAAACTGTCTCCGGATGAGTTGTCAATCTTTCTAGAATACCCCGGGCCCTAGCTGAGTGATACAGTGCTCCCCTCCGCCCTTACTGTTTACTTCTGTGGAATAATGTAAACATTCTTTATAAACAGTTCCTTTGGAGGAACCCGACATACAAACTTTCTCTTTTTAATGCCTGTGAGGTCTGGTATCTTTCTACTCAACTCGAAGTGGTACAGGAGCCGGGAAGCAGGAAACAAACTATTGCTGTCGTCTTTTAATGGTGATAGTGACATTTCTGATTCAGCCCAATAGCATTCTTACCATTAAAATACCCTCGGTGATTTCCCTGGCCCAGGTTCAACTCATGGCGCCAGGAAATGAGTTTTCACTGAGGCTCTTACTGCTCTGGAAGCCGTTTTAAGGCTCCATCTGGCGTGCCAGGCAGAGAGGTTCTGTGAGGTTATTGGTGGAAATATTCTGAGGCTTATGAAACAAAGTCAGTGTCATAAAATAGGGCCCTGTGCTTCAGTGACATCGTCCCCATGGAAGCATCACTGAGGGGCCCTTGCTGTTGGTTCTCTGCAGGCATTAGATGGCTTCATCATCGCCGTGACGACAGGCGGCTGCATCCTCTACGTGTCTGACGGCATCACGCCTCTCCTCGGGCACTTGCCGGTGAGTGTCCGCTCCTCCAAGGGCCCCTGCCAGTACACGTTGTCATTTTCCTTGGAACCATCCAGAACTAGATAGGGTGGTACAGGTATGCAGTGGTCTGTGTGTGAGAAGGATTCTGGAATGCCCTCAACAGACCCAGGCCGAGGTCCCAGGGCCCTGCCAGGGGCAGGGCAGGTACAGATGTGTCATCCTGGAACAAGCCTCAGCAAAGCCAGACCTGGGTGGCGAGCATGGCACACCCTTGCCCTCTGTGCCCCAGCTCCTGACAAGATGCTGTGGCCTGAGGGAGCCTCTCCGGCAAATGGGAACTCCAACGCCCAGATCTGGGGGTGTGCACAGGTGGCTGCAGGTGGGGTGTGGTTTGGAGGTCACCAGGGACGTGACTGAGATTGCAGGTAGTCATGACCCTAGAGGCGAGGGTTCAGCAACAGGGCTGGTCCTGAGGGATTGAAATACTGTGGGAAGACGCTGTTGCCCAGGAGGTTTGGAGGACGGAGGTGTGGACAGCAGGGAGAAGAGGTCAGGCCTCGCTCTTCCTGATGGGCACCAGGCTGAGGCTTGGAGGCAGGCGTGTCTGGCAAGTTCGAAGGCCCTCAAAAATGTTTCTCCGTCACCCTGGCCAGTTTGGCTCAGCGGTTGAGCGTCGGCCTGCGGACCAGAGAGTCTCAGGATTGGTTCCCGCTAGGGGCACGTACCACAAAAATAAAAAAGTTGCTCCCTCCCGTTGCTCCTACCTTTGCCCCTCTTTTTGTTTCTCCCTCCCTTCTTTCTCTCCTTCCCTCCCTCCCTAACACTTCCTCCTCTCAAATGAGCCTTGCTGGCTCTCCAAGCTGGTCACCCTCCCCTCACCTCACCCCACCCCCCACCAGGATGAGCACCTGGCTGGTGAGGGTCCCCCTTTGAGGGTCCCTCATAGCGTCTGGCCAGCCTTCCATTTCCTTCCACACTGGCACTTCCTCCTACAGAGCCCGGCCTTGCATGACAGCTGTTCCAGCACTGTCCCGTGGGGCTTGGGTGACCCTCCCCTTCTTTCCCCTGCCAGCAAGCCCTGCCACGGGCTGGCCCGCCACCTGCCGGCGAGCTGCCAGTGTGTGTGATGAGGAGGGTGGCACCTTGTCGGGGGTCCCTTCCGCACCCAGGCCTTCCTGGGCAAACAGGGTGTGGAGGACTGGTTGCCTCCCCTGAGCCACACCTGCCCCAGAGCTTGCTCCCTTGGGGTCCTGACCTGGTTGGCTAATTGCCCAGGGCTCCACCTCATCCTGGGTCATGATTCTGTCAGAAGCCATGCCCCCACCCCACCATTTCTGCACAGGATGCTGTGCGGAGATCTCAGCCACCCTCCGCACCTTCCTTCACCAGTGCCTGTGGAGTGGCTCAGAAAAGCATCTTTACTCTGCTAGGCAGATGCCTTTACATTTTTCCTTAATTTATCTAAACTCTGTGCATCAGCCCATTTCCTGCGCTATTTTCAGGGCGCACAGGCTGGGGGTAGGAAGGTTCTCTCCCCTCTGACACCTGTCAAAGGCTGGCTCTCACTTCACCCTAAAGAGTGGAGAGCACAGCTCCATCTTGATTCGAGCCCCGGGCCAGGAGCAGTGCCGCCGCTGCGCGTGCAGAAGTGACCCTCGGCCAGCCCCGCTGCGCGTGCGGAAGTGACCCTCGGCCAGCCCCGCTGCGCGTGCGGAAGTGACCCTCGGTCAGCCCCGCTGCGCGTGCGGAAGTGACCCTCGGCCAGCCCCGCTGCGCGTGCGGAAGTGACCCTCGGTCAGCCCCCCCGCTGCGTGCGGAAGTGACCCTCGGCCAGCCCCGCTGCGCGTGCGGAAGTGACCCTCGGCCAGCCCCGCTGCGCGTGCGGAAGTGACCCTCGGTCAGCCCCCCCGCTGCGTGCGGAAGTGACCCTCGGTCAGCCCCGCTGCGCGTGCGGAAGTGACCCTCGGCCAGCCCCGCTGCGCGTGCGGAAGTGACCCTCGGCCAGCCCCGCTGTGCGTGCGGAAGTGACCCTCGGCCAGCCCCGCTGCGCGTGCGGAAGGGACCCTCGGCCAGCCCCGCTGCGCGTTCGGAAAGTGACCCTCGGCCAGCCCGCTGCGCGGTGCGGAAGTGACCCTCGGCCGCCCCGCTGCGCGTGCGGAAGTGACCCTCGGCCAGCCGCCGCTGCGCGTGCGGAAGTGACCCTCGGCCAGCCCCGCTGCGGTGTGCGAAGTGACCCTCGGTCAGCCGCCGCTGCGTGCAGAAGTGACCCTCGGCCAGCCCCGCTGCGGTGTGCGAAGTGACCCTCGGTCAGCTGCCGCTGCGTGCAGAAGTGACCCCCGGTCAGCCCCGCTGTGGTGTGCGAAGTGACCCTCGGCCAGCCCCGCTGCGTGCAGAAGTGACCCTCGGTCAGCCCCGCTGCGGTGTGCGAAGTGACCCTCGGTCAGCCCCGCTGCGTGCAGAAGTGACCCTCGGTCAGCCCCGCTGCGTGCAGAAGTGACCCTCGTCAGCCCCGCTGCGGCATGCGGAAGTGGACCCTCGTCAGCCCCCCGCTGCGGCGTGCGAAGTGACCTCGGTCAGCCCCGCTGCGGCCTGCGGAAGTGACCCTCGGTCAGCCCCCCCGCTGCGGCGTGCGGAAGTGACCCTCGGTCAGCCCCGCTGCGCGTGCAGAAGTGACCCTCGGTCAGCCCCGCCGCTGCGTGCAGAAGTGACCCTCGGTCAGCCCCGCTGCGGCGTGCGGAAGTGACCCTCGGTCACCCCCCCGCTGCGGCGTGCAGAAGTGACCCTCGGTCAGCCGCCGCTGCGTGCAGAAGTGACCCTCGGCCAGCCCCGCTGCGGGTGCGAAGTGACCCTCGGCCAGCCCCGCTGCGGTGTGCGAAGTGACCCTCGGTCAGCTGCCGCTGCGTGCAGAAGTGACCCTCGGCCAGCCCCGCTGCGTGCAGAAGTGACCCTCGGTCAGCCCCGCTGCGGTGTGCGAAGTGACCCTCGGTCAGCCCCGCTGCGTGCAGAAGTGACCCTCGGTCAGCCCCGCTGCGTGCAGAAGTGACCCTCGGTCAGCCCCGCTGCGGCCTGCGGAAGTGACCCTCGGTCAGCCCCCCCGCTGCGGCCTGCGGAAGTGACCCTCGGTCAGCCCCCCCGCTGCGGCGTGCGGAAGTGACCCTCGGTCAGCCCCCCCGCTGCGTGCAGAAGTGACCCTCGGTCAGCCGCCGCTGCGCGTGCAGAAGTGACCCGCGGTCAGCCCCGCCGCTGCGTGCAGAAGTGACCCTCGGTCAGCCCCGCCGCTGCGTGCAGAAGTGACCCTCGTCAGCCCCGCCGCTGCGTGCAGAAGTGACCCTCGGTCAGACCCGCCGCTGCGTGCAGAAGTGACCCTCGGTCAGCCCCGCTGCGGCGTGCAGAAGGTGACCCTCGGTCAGCCGCCGCTGGCGTGCAGAAGTGACCCTCGGTCAGCCGCCGCTGCGTGCGGAAGTGACCCTCGGTCCACCCCGCCGCGGCGTGCAGAAGTGACCCTCGTGTCAGCCGCCCGCTGCGTGCAGAAGTGACCCTCGGTCCAGCCCCGCCGCTGCGTGCAGAAGTGACCCTCGTCAGCCCCGCTGCGCGTGCGAAGTGACCTCGGTCCAGCCGCCGCTGCGTGCAGAAGTGACCCTCGGTCAGCCCCGCCGCTGCGTGCAGAAGTGACCCTCGGTCAGCCCCGCCGCGCGTGCAGAAGTGACCCTCGGTCAGCCCCGCCGCTGCGTGCAGAAGTGACCCTCGGTCAGCCGCCGCTGCGTGCAGAAGTGACCCTCGGTCAGCCCCGCCGCTGCGTGCAGAAGTGACCCTCGGTCAGCCCCGCTGCGGCGTGCAGAAGTGACCCTCGGTCAGCCGCCGCTGCGTGCAGAAGTGACCCTCGGTCAGCCCCGCTGCGTCGTTGCGGAATTGACCCTCGGCCAGCCCGCTGCGCCCTGTGCGGAAGGACCCCTGCGGCCAGCCGCCGCTGCGTGCGGAAAGTTGACCCTCGGCAGCCCCCGCTGCGTTGTGCGAAGTGACCCGCGGTCAGCCGGCCGCTGCGTGCAGAAGTGACCCCCGGTCAGCCCCAGCCTGTGGTTGTGCAGAGTGACCCTCGGTCAGCCCCGCTGCGGTGTGCGAAGTGACCTCGGTCAGCCCCGCTGCGGTGTGCGAAGTGACCCTCGGTCAGCCCCGCTGCGTGCAGAAGGGACCTCCGGTCAGCCCCGCTGCGGCCTGCGGAAGTGACCCTCGGTCAGCCCCCCCGCTGCGGCGTGCGAAGTGACCCTCGGTCAGCCACCCCGCTGCGGCGTTTGTGGGGGGGCGGAACGGGTACCCTCGGTCAGGCCCCCCCGCTTGCGTGCAGAAGTGACCATCGGTCAGCCGCCGCTGCGTGTGCAGAATTGAATGACCCTCGGTCAGCCCCGCCGCTGCGTGCAGAAGTGACCCTCGGTGCAGCCCGCCGCTGCGTGCAGAAGTGACCCTCGGTCGAGCCCCGCTGCGTGCAGAAGTGACCCTCGGTCAGCCGCCGCTGCGTGCAGAAGTGACCCTCGGTCAGCCGCCGCTGCGTGCAGAAGTGACCCTCGGCCAGCCCCGCTGCGCGTGCGGAAGTGACCCTCGGCCAGCCCCGCTGCGGCGTGCAGAAGTGACCCTCGGTCAGCCCCGCTGCGTGCAGAAGTGACCCTCGGTCAGCCCCGCCGCTGCGTGCAGAAGTGACCCTCGGTCAGCCCCGCTGCGTGCAGAAGTGACCCTCCGTCAGCCGCCGCTGCGTGCAGAAGTGACCCTCGGTCAGCCGCCGCTGCGTGCAGAAGTGACCCTCGGTCAGCCGCCGCTGCGTGCAGAAGTGACCCTCGGTCAGCCGCCGCTGCGTGCAGAAGTGACCCTCGGTCAGCCCCGCTGCGGCGTGCGGAAGTGACCCTCGGTCAGCCGCCGCTGCGTGCAGAAGTGACCCTCGGTCAGCCGCCGCTGCGTGCAGAAGTGACCCTCGGTCAGCCCCGCTGCGGCGTGCGGAAGTGACCCTCGGTCAGCCCCCCCGCTGCGGCGTGCGGAAGTGA